ATTGCCACCGTGAGACGTGCTCCTAGTTTCAAGGGTGGTGCTTGTGTGATCACTGGACCAAGTGGAGTAGGAAAGTCCACGTTGATCAAGAAGTTGATGGCAGAATTCCCTGATCACTTTGGTTTCTCTGTTTCTCACACCACGCGTGATCCTCGACCCGGGGAACAAGATGGGGTCGACTATCACTTTGTGAAGCGTGAGCAAATGCAAAAAGACATTGATGCAGGGCTCTTCGTGGAACATGCAGAGGTTCATGGAAACTTATATGGCACCTCCATATCAGCTGTGCAGGACGTGACAAAGACAGGCAGGGTGTGTCTGCTGGACATTGATGTGCAAGGTGCAGAGTCCGTCAGACAATCGCCTTTGTCAAAGACCTGTTCCTTTGTTTTCTTTGCTCCACCCACCGCAGATGTCTTGGAACAACGCTTACGTGGCAGAGGGACTGAGACAGAGGAGAGGATTCAGAAGCGGCTGGCAGGTTCCTTAAGGGAATTGTCAATCTATGAGGGACATCCAGAAGCATGGGATTTGACCTTGCAATGGTACAACGAGCAGGTAGAAGATGCCTATGTAGAGTTCAGGACATTTCTGCGTGATCAGATGGCTTAACCTAGTCACGCATAGTCCGCATAGTAACAAGTGCCTCGCTAGTAATAACAGGTGCCTTACTAGTAGTAACAAAAAGCTATTTGAATTAGTATAAAATTATTCTAAACTAATAGCTTCTTCTTACTACTAGTAAGGCACTTGTTACTACTAGCGTGGCACTTGTTACTACTAGCGTTGAGTGCTTGTCGCCCCAAGGACGAGAGAACAAAGCAGAGTAAAAAAGAGGTTTCGACTCAGTCTCACAGCGGCTCCGCGACTCAGACTCATTTGCCCCATTTTTTGCACTGACGTCATGAGCGTGTCGTTGAGTGAAGGCGTTGGCTGCAAGATGAGGTGAGGAGATGAGAGCCAAGCCGAAATCGGGAGTTTTGGAAGGTTTGGAGAGTGACGTACCTCCATGTAGTTTTTGAAAGAGTCTTTGTTGATTTTCTGTCACGGATAACAGATGGGATTTGCCGTGAGCTTCTAAAGAGTGGTGATGTCAGTTTTGGTGCGATAAAGAGGCGTTTGTGCACTGTGTTGCCATTAGCAAGATTCTCCACATGTTTGCAGTTCAGATCAACAGTGGCTCTCCAAGAAACAGAGCGCTGTGTGGCTGATTTTGTCCAACCATGGCAACAAAAAACAATCCTTTGCCCGACTTTATCCCGAGATGTTCACACTGCGCTTGAGAAGAGCTACTCTCTTCTGTTTGCTTAAGTGCTTCCACGCTTCGCTAGGTGGCCCCTGAAGAGGGAAAAGCAGATGGTGTTGAACCTGCTCATTCTTCTGAGCAGACGCCAGAGAGGCTTAGTGGCCTATGAAGCTTTTTTGACGCAAGTCTAGCCAAATGAACAAACCAGCAGTTGCACAGCCATTCTGGCTTGTTATGTGTTTGGCAATTGCTAGTTGACAAGAATAACATATGTGGCATGCATTTTTATAAAAAATGTTAAGAGTGCAAAAAAGGTACATCAGCATCACTTGCATTTCAAAAAGGCAAGCTAGCAGAGCATATGCAAGGTCATCTGCACTGGGAAGCTAGTTTCACTGCAGGCTTCCTGAGTGGCAGCTGGCCTTTGCAAAGGCAAAGGATAGGCTTGGACTCCCAGATGGGGTCTGTGGCATGATTCGAGGAACATCGCTAGTAGGTTGGAGGCCATTGCTTCTAGGTTGGAGGCCATCGCCAGGGCCATTGCTTCTAGGTTGGAGGCCATCGCTAGGAGATTGGAGGGATTCGTCGCATGGTGAGGCCACCTCGCTCCGTTTTTTTGTTGCTTGCGCCTGAGGTGGGACAGCACCGGCGAGCGGTGTTTTTACCACCACTCTGAGAACAACCTCTATTTTGAGTGGGTCCGGAAGCTTACAGACTGCACTAGAACTGCACAAGAATGGCTCTAAATGCACTGGTTTTATCGTGTGAGTGGATCGTGGATAGTGGTGCCTCACTGTTGGCTCAAGTTTTAAGTTTGGAGTTCCTTGGGGAAGGGTTTATGTGGAAAGTTTGTGGCGTGGGAGAAACAAATCCCGTCCTCGATTCTTTCGTGGAGAGATCGTTTACTCAATGCTGCAGCTTGCACGTGTTAGCTTGGCCTTCCTTTGCAACTTTGCAAGTGGACCAGCCACTGTGATGAGCAACAAAATGGTTTTCGTGACCACTGGATTCAGCTTCCCAATACTCTTGACAGTATGTCACTATGTGTGTACCTGGCTTGTGATCAAAGCAATGTCGCGACTAGGTGTGTACAGTCCTGCCCAAGCGCAGCTGTTGTCCTCGAAAGGAAGTGGAGCTCGACGTTCTGTGATTCTATTGATCATCACTTGGAGTTTTTACAATATCATGTCGAACCTGTCTCTGTCGCAGAATTCTGTGGGAATTTATCAGATGATCAAGTTGCTCATGGCACCGGGCGCAGTCGTCTGGGATTTCGTGCTCTACGGGAAGAAGCCGACGCCTTGGCAAAGCATGCTTCTATGTCTGGCCGTTTTTGGAGTTTACTCCTGCACTGTCTCAAGCTTGGACAGCGGGGACCTCACCCTTTTTGGTCTGGCGGTGGCCTTCCTGGCAGTGTTCTTGGCCATTTTCCAGAAGGGCTTAACATCGCATGTCATTCAATACACTGAAACTCTCCTGAATTCGATGCCAGGAGCCCCGTTCGTAGCGTCCGATCGCTCCTAGTAGTGAGGCCAGGAGCCCGTTCCTAGCGTCCGATCGCTCCTAGTAGCGATGCCCTTGCTACACTGAAACTATCCTCAATAGATTGACTTTCCTTTGGCTTTAGCTCCCCCGTAAAAGGCGTTATCTCTTGGACTGGAGCTTTTTGCCAGTTTCATCACACCTGGTAGAAAAGCCGGCGATGACCAACCGCCCAGCCCAGATCTATTGCAACTTTTTCTTCTTGATGACGTTTAGGCAAAAAAGTCGATCAAGTTTTTGTTCGAGTTTACTTGCTATTGGGATGGAGGTCATCGCCATTAGGCGGTTCCTTTAAATTCCTTTAAAGTCTTTTCCTTAAAGTCTAGTAAGGCACTTGTTCCTAATAGCAAACATTGTTACTACTAGTAAGGCACCTGTTACTACTAGCGTGGCACCTGTTACTAATAGCTTAAAGTTTACGACTTTCCCTTTTGGTCGTTTCCCTTTTGGTCTAAGGAAGTGAAACTTTCACCACTGCAACTCTTGGACAGCTGTATGCCTTGGATGGGTGCCATCACGGTGCTGAGTGCAATTGCCCTGGAGGATTGCCGTGCAGCTGCTCAGCAAGTCCGTCGAGGCCATTGCATGGCCATCGCATTCTCTTCCTTGTGTGGAACGATGGCGAATGTCTCTTCCACGTGGGTTCTTGGCTTGACGTCTCCACTTGCACATATCCTGCTGGGGCAGTTGAAGACGATCTTGATCCTCCTGGGTGGGTTTCTTTTCTTTGACAAGGAGCCCACCCTGCGGACACTGATGGGTGCAGTCATGGCGCTGACGGGCATCACCATGTATGCTTGGAGCAAACTTCCCAAGGAAGACGAAAAAGATGAGGACGGAGCGACGAACGATTCAGTCAGGAACGACGTCTGGAAGGCGTCTGGAGAAAAGTCAGAGTGGGATGAAGAAGCAGCCATGTTCACCAAGGACAGGCGGTTGGGCCATTGGCACTTGTTGGTCCACTTCATCCCAAGCGTTTGAACCATCCAACACTAGTTTCTTGTGAACGTTGCGCAGTTCGACGTTTCCAGAGGTTCTACGGTTCTTCGTTCTTCTTTTTTTGTGGTTCTACCAATGTTTGGACAGGAGATGGAGCTCGAGGAGAAAGTTCGGGGAACTCACCGTACTTGTGACGAAAGCACAAAGGAACATTGAGCAACTGAGAAGCATTTAGCTTGGCCATCGCTACTAGGAGCGATTGGATGCATTAGCTTGGAGGCCATCGCTTTTAGGTTGAGAAGCCATGCAAAGCCGAAATCTTGAGCTTTGGGTTTGGCCGCCAATGGGGCTTTTAGAGCGCTCTCAGGGGGGCTTTGGGTTTGCCCTTTTCTGGTTTTAGTATGACAGGAACGTCACCAGAATTGTTTTCTGCAGATAAACCCCTGGTCTGCTTTCTTGCTTTAGGTTTCAGATCTTGGTCTTTACTGTTGCTGAAATGGAGATGTGCTACTTAAGTGACTGCTCCTAGATTTCCCAGACCCAAAGCAAAGCTCTCCGTCGAAAGCTGCGCGAAGTGCTTCGCATGCAGTTCCTGGCACGCTTCCGCTCAAAGACGAGCCGAGTGGCAGAATAATAGCATCCCTGCTCCTAGTAGTAAGGCCAGGAGCCCCTAGTAGCGTTCTTGCTCCTAGCAGCGATGCCCTTTGTTACTAGTAGCTTTCTTGCTCCTAGTAGTGCGACTTGTGTGTCCATGCATTGTGCACATGGCTCTAGCTGTGAAGCTGCCGAAGCCTGATCAAAGTATCATCGGGTGAGAAAAGAGTGTCCGAGAGATGCACCTTTTAAGGACCTTCAGATACGCCAGTAGTAACAAGTGCCACGCTAGTAGTAACAAGTGCCTTACTAGTAGTAACAAGAAGCTATTAGTAAAAGTAGGTTGGAGGCCATCGCTACGAAAGGAGCAAGGACGCTACGAACGGGGCTCCTGGCCATCGCTACTAGGAGCAATGTTCGCTACTAGTTTCTCCCGGCATCGCTACACACGGAGCAAGGAGGCTATCCGGGTGGAGGCCATCGCTAGTAGGTGTGGGGAATTGGAGACATCGGGGCCAATGGGATGGGATGATGGGTCGAGCTAGGCCGGATCGATCAGGTACAAATGACCAACCAAGGGAACATGCCTGAAAACGTGTTAGTAGTAACAGGTGCATCGCTACTAGGAACAAGTGCATCGCTACTAGTAACAAGTGCCTTACTAGTAGTAACAATGTTAGCTATTAGCAAACATTGTTACTACTAGTAAGGCACTTGTTACTAGAAGCGATGCACTTGTTGCTACCAGTGACTCACATCATCTTTCCAGCACGTGGCAGTTTTAAGTTGATCGTTTCTTCACCGTGCTTCATCCATGTCGATCGTCATAAATGAAAGGAAGACCGAACGTGGAAAACCAATCTGTGGATCATCCTAGTTCAATGGCCATGTTTGAGGAAGAGTGTTTGTTGTGGGAGAAAGAAGTGTTGCAGTGTTGCAACATGAGTCACTGAGGATCAAGGTGCTGGGTTGCTCTTCCAGTATTTCGTGGAGGAGCAATCCAGCGCTGTGTCTCCCTTAAGACAGATGTTTTCTCCAATGTAACTCTGAACGATGGCCTCCAACCTACTAGCGATGGCCTCCAACCTAATTTTAATAACGTAGAAGAGCAATAATTCTGTCTGTTTGGAGGAGTTACGAAGGCAAATTTACACCCTTGCTGCCAGAAGGAAACGGTGTCCAGTCTTCTCACAAATTCTTCACAAAGATTATAATGCCCTGCTCTCTTCTTTTTGCACTTTTCTCCATCCTTTTGCGAACTCCTTTGTCGATGAAGGGTGAAGTCCTAGCTGTGCAGGCCTTTTTACAGGTTCTTTTTTGGCAGCATATGAGTCGCAAGAGTCGCAAGATGTCGCACGTTCCGAAGCTCGGCTTTTTTGGGCGGATGGCGCCGCATGTTCCGAAGCGAAACGCGGTCAACCTGCTTTTGGTTGTTAGGAGCGATGGCCTCCAACCCAGCTACTAGTAACAGGTGCCACGCTACTAGTAACAGGTGCCTTACTAG